GGAAGCCCTTTGCACAAGGCCACCTAGCTCCACATAGGTGGAGCTGGGATTCACACAGGAATTTGGCACCAAACTTGGCTTCGCGTTGGAGTCCCTAATAGCAATCACTTCTGCAGACCTGGAATCCAAGTGTCTGGAAAGCTAAGGGGAGACTGAGGCCTTTGCACCCTGAAGGTCCTTCCCAGGGTTCCGCCACACCAGCCAGGAAGGCCCAGGCACCCAGCTTCTGCCTAAGTGGTTGCTGAGACTATGCAGGTCTGTGGGGGAGGACAGGTCAGGAGGAAGTGGCTGATGAGCCAGGCTGAGGCATCTGTATCTGCCCTTCAGTGGTAGTTAAGGGTGTGTGTCAACTTTCCTGGGCTTGGTTGAGTGGCTGGGCAGCTGGATGTAGTTATTCCCTGTGGTGAGATTGGTAATTAACTCCATGGTAGAATCTACTGGAGCAGCTGAGTAGCTGCTTTAGGCGTGTAGGCTGCTTCCAGTCTATAAGGAGCAACTTTAAGGAAGGTAGCTGAGTCTTCATTCAGCAGCCTGCCATGCTCTGCCAATCTTGGGAATTTTAATGGACTTGAATCAATGGTCTGCCATGTGGTTTGATAATATCGGGACTGTGCCTTTTTATTTGTTGACCTTGGGTTTGTCAGCTAGCAGGTGCCTGAGTGAGTGAAGAGATGCCTCCAGCTTCAGTGGGCCGGGAACAAGAGGCAGAGCTGAAGCCCAAGGTAAAGGGGCTTTCACCCATCCCCTAGACATGGCACTTTGAACTCAGAGTTCTAGCCTCCCAAATAAACTCCTGTTTCTTCAAGCCATTCAATTTGTGGTATATTCCTGTCAGAGTAGCACTAAAATTCAAAAACTCACTGCTGTTGACTCGGATCCAAGTCATAGTGACCCCTCCTTGGGTTTCCAAGGTGGTATCACTACAGAAGTAGATTGCCCAACCTGCCTTCCAAGGAGTGGCTGGTGGGTTTGAACCACCAGCCTTCTGGTTAGCAGTCAAATGCCTTAGGCACTACGCCACTCTAGGTAACTAAAACATCATCCTTCCAGATAAGCCTTGCAAAGCAGACACACAGCTTGCATTTTCACAACCTGCCCCAACCCAACAGACACTGAGGCCGAGAAGTGAGAGACTTGCTTGAAGCCACCCAATGAGTGCCCTGGCGACTAAGTCTTCAGAAACCTCTCTCTGGGCTTGGCCTGGGCTGCCCCAAAAAAGGAGTTCATTCTTAAATTCTGTGCTCTAGAGACTGACTCTCCTCACCTTAAAGGAAACAGTGGAAACCCTACTCATTTCCTGTTCATCCACACCCACGCTGCTGGGCTCTGAGGATCAGACACGGACCTATCCTCCAGGAGCTGGCAATCTGATGGGTAAGCCTGGCACTATACAGAAAATCAAAACCCTCAGACATAAGGACAATAATGTGGGCAAAGGGAGTGTCCAGAGGGAGGGCCCCTGGGACAGAGAAGTATAAGTGAGGGAAATCCAGGTGGGCTTCCCAGGGAAGGCGGCACTGCAGCTGGGCTTTGGAGGGCGAGGGTTTGTGTGAGTACTGGCAAAGTTCCAAGGGAAGACTGGGCTGCACCCCATTGTCCCACAAAGAGCAGGGAAAACATAGGGGGAGGGTTGGCCGAGTCTTTCTGCCTCCAGGTGGCGTCCTTGAGCCACACAGCCCGACGCGCCGCAGGAGACTATCCCCGACCTAGGGAGCCAGGGTTCTACAAGAGGGTTAGGGGGACGTTAGGGGGAGGGACAGAGGACTGGCCTTAGCGCAATAGGGGTCCCCAGCGGAAAAG